CCAGCATACGTGATAAAGAGGGAGTGCAAATACCTCCAAACTCTGTTAGCAGGAACACATTCCTTGATACCCACGATAGACAGGATCGCCCACGTTCATTCCTTGGAAGAAAAGGCAATGCATATAAAAATCAACACAGCCCAAACCATTGACTTGGTTCCGGTACGTAGTGTGCCAGGGGATCCTTTATTGACTTGGTTAGACTTCTCTGAAAAATTTTTTTTTTTTCTAAAAATGTTGTGCACTTAACACATCCCTAATTTGGGGATTTTATTTTGATGTATTACCATAAATATTTTTTGGAATATAATCTTTCTGTAAATACAGGCTATATATTTCGTCTCTGTACAGTTACAGCAAACTGGAGGATAATCTTGACCGTCCATACGGTTATTATCAACGGATTAGCTATCGATCCATGTGACGGTGAAATATTTAATACCGATCGTTGATTTTAACTTCGTCAACAAGTAAAAGCATCAAACCGTCCACGTGGTTTCTAATATTGCTTGCCTTTATGACTTCATCGAACTCTCTCTGTGCATTCTGTCACCCTGCAATTGCTCCGAATTAACAGTAACAAAACTTAGCCCTCACCCAACCATGAATCGCTTGAAAACCAGCTTCATCAGCCACGTTCGGTCCTTGAAATCGCTTCAGCAACCGGTAATCCTTCGCCGGAACCTCGCAGCCCCGACGTATTTAGCATTCGGCTCAAGTGCTCCGTCAAAACTACCCAAATCCCCCACCTTCTCGACTCATCTCCGCAGTTTCTCTACTGACCGATGCCAGGATATACGTGGGGAAGGGAGGAAGGTGATTCACGAGAAAACTAAAGCAGTGAACACTTTAAAGCAAAGGATGGTTGAAGCGAAACAGAGCGGGGAATATGAGAAACAGAAGGAAGCGATAATTAACAAATTTCGAGTGGAAGCAGCAGAAATTCGAGCGAATTGGGACTCTAAGTTGAAGATGAACGAGGATTCGTTATTGGAGGCATTAACGGAATGTAGGAAGTGTACGCTTGCATTCCTGGAAGATTGGGAAGAGATGGAAGTGAAGATCAGTGTGGCTAAGGCAGAGAAGAAAGGATATGAGAAAGAAAAGGAAGTGGAGGCACTGTATCTCAGAATTCAAGAGCAATCAGCGTCTCATACTTCAAAAATGATATCTAAGAGCAAGGAGATCGTTGGCGGTGATAGTGAGGAGTTCAAGACAATGTTTGAGAGACTATGCGGTAATATGCCAAATGCTGTTTAAAGTAATGCTTTTTAACTTGTTTATTTGGTTTGGACTGCATTTATTTAGTTTATTACATACATAGTTTTCAAATTGAAATCCATTATTTCATAGTGTCTTCCTCGTCTAGTGGGCACTTCTTCTTATAAAGGACTTTTCATGTTAAGTTTAATAGGTGTGGGGTTTCAGTCCTATCCTCAATGTTCAAAAAAAGCATTAAAATCCAATATTCAGTTAAATGTGCCCTAGACTGACTGCTAAGTTTGCTTAGCTAGTGAATATGTGAAGTTTTCCCATGATATATAACTAATAATCCGAAGAGTTGTTGGTGGATTGCGGAATTTGATGATTTGGTGCATAACATTGTCATGCTGTAGTTGTTGAGGCTTCTATTGTTTAGGTGAAGATAATTGTTGAAATCATGAGGAAATATATTTTGTTTGTTTTGCACTTTGAGATCATCCTTTGTTAATTAGTATCAATTATTGTCAGGCACCTCTGCTTTTGAACCGGAGAGTTCTCTTGTTGTGGATGCCATGGCACTTTGGAATAGTATAAGACAGGCTAAGAAACTCGGTTTCTCTAAAGTAACTATTGAGTCAGATAACAAGATTCTTGTTGATTGTGTAAATGGGAACCAAGACTTTATTCCTTGGGAGATCTATCCTATTGTGCAAGAAATAAAGAGCAGACTGGCCTCTAATCCTCAGTTTGATGTTGTACTTAAACGTCTCTAGGATGTCATGAAGCTGCAGATAGGATTGCTCGCAAGGTTTTTGGAGGTAATGCCCCTCTTACTGGGCTTATCAGCTACTGGATCCTCTGTTATGTTTGCTTTGACAGGAGCTCTTAAATATTTAATTTCATTTTCCGTTAGGTACTGTTCTATGTTCAGCCTTGAAGCATGCTTTATGTGGTTGTTTGAAATTGAGAAACAGTGAACACTAATGCTAGCTTCTTTTTAGACTTTTCTATTCTGAGCTTATTTTTTTCATTTCCTTTTATTTACGCCAAGGAGTAATATGATTTTTGTTCCGCTAAAACCTTTCAAAGGTAGCAGTTTTTTGTTCTTACATTGAGCTGGTCTACCTTATTATGGAATTTGAGTATGGAACTGCATGTATGAGGTTAATAACATGGCATTTTAGAAGAAGTTGAACAACTTTTCATTCCCATCAGTTGCTTCTTATTTCTTATCATTTCTATTTGTGTCATCTTCAACACTATTGAATATGTAGATATACGAAGGACCTACGCACTGCTGCTTCATGTGTATTAATTTTCATCATTTGGGGCCTTGGGAAAATCCTTTTGAAACGATGGATGCTTCTCTTTTTTGTGTGTGTAGTTGCTGGAAAGCGCCAATATTGCCACTATTACCTGTTCCTCTGGATTTTTATTTGTTTTTTCCTTTCCCTTTGTTTTGTCGAGAGAAAGCCGAGGAAATTGAAGATGGCATGGGATTTTTGTTCTGACTTGACCAGACCTTTCGAGGGTAGTATTAGTAACCTTTTGTTCTTCCTACATGTTCGGCCTACCTACATCTTTTATTGTAGCTGACTTGTGCTTAACAAACTTGAGTAGGAATATTCGAATATCCTAGGGTTAAGACTTAAATTTCAAAGAATTGAAGCTGGTTGGTTGCTGATCAATGTAACATTAACTGCGTGCTGTATGTTTAATATGAATGTGTATATATATATATATATATATGGATGTTGAGGATATCAGGATTCTATATGCGGGCAGTGGATGTGTTCTCCGTTCTTTATTTATTTTCTTTTTTACGTCAAATAATAGATTATACATAAAAAAAAAAATGAAAATCTAGGTTTGCACACTCCTGAAAGATCATTAGTAAGGCTTACTTGAACTTCATTTGGAGGTTTCTCAAAGTAGAGGAATCCTTTTTGTATGTGGTAGAACCGTAGAAGCAAGAGGCTATGCTATTTGCAAAAGAGTAAGCTTCGCGAAATACAGGAGTATAGCTCACGCTTCCAATAGACAATAATCTTTTTCTTCTTAGAACTCTTTTTATTTATCATAAAATTTAAATTGTAGATTTTTAATTCAAATTTATAACTATAGAAATATCCTTAGAGATAATGTATTTTAGGTTAATTAGCAACTGTGGTTTCTATCTTTTCTGGCCCTTATCCAACTGTGCAGAATGCTTAGTTCGGAAAATTTGTGAGGAAACTACCATAAAATAAATAAAGAATGTAAACAAACTCGAATTGATTGAGGCATGTAGTCGAAAGATAGAAAAAGTATAGTAATATTTTCGTAATTGAAAATAAAAAATTGAAATTTATGTGAGCAAATGCAAAGATTGTGTGCCGCAGAGGGATTTGACTTCTTAAAAAAATTTCTGATGAAAGGAAAAGCACTGCTATTATAATGAAAAAATGTCTGAATATCCAAGGCAATTGACGGAATCTGAACAGTTGCCGTCCAAGCTGTCCTCAAACAGAGCATTTTCTTTCCCCTGTTGTCTTCCTCAAATTGAACAAAACAAAATTCGTATCCTACATTGCACATTAGGTGAAAGTTAGTGTCTTTACCATTTACCTCCAATAAATTATGAACTAGGGTTTTTTCACATTTTCCCTCACCCAAATTTGCCTCAGCCTCCATTTCCAAAAAACCAAAAAGATCAAAATTTAGCTGAATTCACCATGTATCCCTTCAAACCCAGCTTCCTTAACACCCTCAGATCCCTGAAAAACCTCAAGAGAGTCGAGCCGCGGCGATTCAGCCCGTCGACAAACTGGGACATCGCCGTTCCGGGGACTCACACTCACGGCCTCGAAAGGCACCGAGAAGTAGAATATCGAAAAACCCTTGATGGAATCACTCACTTATCGATCCCTTCTCTCAACAAGATCGCCACTTTGGAGGAAGAGGTCTTGCCCCTGGTACTCTCCCATGCTATAAACTATATTGCATTTGCTGGTAAAGAAACAGGGGAACTCCAAATTTCTCTACCTTTCCTAACCAAGGACAAGGTTGTGAAGGATGCGATGCTTTATGTAAAGATTGTAGATCCTTGCAATCCGCCATCGTATGCGGTTGATGATCCGATTTTTGAAGTGACCCAGTTGGCTGAAACAATGGGGTGCATTCTTGGGAAGTTGTTATCTGACGAGACCGTTGTAGAGTTTGCCACGAATGAGACGCTGCTGGTGCTGACATCAAAGAAGGAACAAGAGAAGGTAATTAGCAGAGCCCTGGAGAAGAAGGTCAGGCGATTTTGCCACCGCGAATTAATGCGGAAGAAGTACTGGGAAGGCATGATGGAGCAGGGACCTTTTAGGAGTAATTAAATTATTGTTTAATGTTTATGTAAGTTTCCTTGATATTTATCAGTTCTACTTTGATGCTTGAATTGCTTCAATTTCTTACTTAATTAGCTGGAGATGTTGGAAGGCTTAGTAGAATGGAGAACAGTTTGACAATGGATTTCAGAAAACAGGAGCAGAGTAGAAGGTTGCAGAACTTAGAAAAATTTTCTAGAGAACAGAGGAAAATCATTTATATTTCTCCGTACCCAAGAAGGGATAATCTAATCTTCATTATGAGATTATCTTGTAAATTGTTATTTGCTGAATTCACAGAATCACAATTTTGGGAGAAAACTGTTTATTTCTTCTAGTATAGCTGTGTCAAACATTTATCTAATCTATGCACAAAACCTTCATCCATTTCTTCTATATATGCTTTCTGAGCAATGCGAGATCATCAGGATGAGAGGAAGATTGAGAAGAGAATTTGGAAGCTGCCATCAACAAGGAACAATCACTTTGCCATTGTTTCTTTGGGAAAGCTATGTTCCTTGGTTGGAAACAATCATGGGAACTGCCACCTTTCAATTTGTGTAGTGCACAGCCAAAGTTGGGGCGGTATGGCCTCCACTGGATGTCTGTGTCATTCGCAGTTATGCTTCCATCAAACATCCTGTGAGCTGCCCGACTTGCCATTCTTGCTTCCTCTTCCAAATTCCCTAAAGCCCTCTCTATAGATTGAGTTGTCTCTTCTTTTTGTTCTATCTTCTGCATGCTTCCTTGGGTTTATATAGAGGAAGATATGACAACTTTTACGAGTAATGGAGAGGGAACAACTTAGTCTGTGTTAGTACTGCATTTAGAATTCAAGAGAACTTTGTTCTAAGGAGTTCTTGTTAATGGCGGTTACCCAATTAAGACAAACGAGTAGTTAAGAGAGAATCTCTTGGGAAAAAGGGAAAGGAGTGGCCTAGCTTGGCTTGGTTCTTTTTGCAAAGATTTGTCTTTGTTATTTCGTTAAAGGAATTAGGATTCCCTCTTTGTTTTTGTCACCAAGCCTCCTTTTTGACTAAAGCCGTGAGAAACCAATCAAAGGGATCTGTGTTCGACTGTCTTTGTGGTTATTGTTAGGCAATGCAAGGCGGCCAGCTCCATGCACCAACGATAGCGTCTAGTATTTTGGGGGTCTTATGCTTCTAAATGGAAGCCCAATGTTCTACTAATTTTGATTCTGTTTTCTTGACACTTCTTTGAAATTCCAAAATTCATCTCTTTATACTTTGATTTTAATCATCTCTTTATACTTTGATTTAAAAAAAAAAAAAGTACCAGCCAAAAGAAATAAGAATATAAGAGTAGAATTAATGCATATTTGATCTTACAATAAACTTTGTAAAATGCAAACAAATAGTTGGGGACCTAATTGTTAAACTAAAAAAACTATGGCCTCAATAAGTTAGCAAAGAAAACTTAATCCTTCTTGGAGAAAAAAAAAAGGGAAAATAACTTAGCAGTCAAGCAAGAAATAGTATACATGGAACCACGTGTTTTCGACGCCCTATGCAAAAACAGTGTTCCTTCAGTATTACTGCTCCAGACGTTTCCTTTTTTCTGATCGATCGGCAATCATGAGTAACACCAAAAACTTCAGCGTCTTCGACTTCCTCAAGGCTTGGAAATCCGGCTGCCAAAATTCAGATTATCAACACCCGATCTTCCCATCAGCCCCAGGAACTGCAGCCCAAAACCCCTACCATCCGTGCATCGGGTCTCTCGATGACAATCGGTATCGGAGGTGTCTCCCCGTCAACAGAGGCATCAATATCGTCCCGGAAATGCATGCTTACGTGGTTGAGAGGTTCGGACAATACTCAAAAACTCTCGACCCCGGTATCCACATTTTGATACCTTTTGTTGACAGGATTGCCTACGTGCATTCCTTGAGGGAAAAGACAATCGAAATATCATCCGTAACTAGTGTAACCAAGGACAACATTCCGGCATCCGTTACTGGGGTGGTTCGGACTCAGGTTGTCGATCCTTATCGAGCATCATACGGGAATGATGATCCGATAGATGCAGTGACCCAAGTGGCTGAATCGACAATGAGTGAAATTCTTGGGAAGATTGGGTCGGATAAGACTAAGGAAGAGCTCGAGGGATTGTACCAAAGCGCTGTGGATGACATCAACAAGACTGCTTCACTATGGGGACTAAAGTGCTTCGGCTTCGAGATCAAGGGTGTCTCGCCGCCTGAGATACTGAGGCTACAGGTGGATATGGCAAAGAAGAAGCAGGCTGAGCAGGAAATTGAGGCAACGAAGGAGAGGATGGTGCAACTGCCAAAGCCCGAGTAAAAGGCCCCGAATGATTAAGTTGCTTCTATCATTAGTCTTTTAGTTTCTTGCTTAATTAGAGACTTTTAGGAGTGACATATATAGTATAAATTAGCTATGGTTTGATTGTTTGATTTAATTATGGATTTAATTATGTACTTTACAAAAAAACCTTTTACGAACAAAGTTTTGATAATCTACGATTTCGTATTAATATCAAGAATATCAAGAAATAATATATACACCTACAAAGTTACATACTTCTTATATATTGACGGTTTGGTTACTTGTATCGTTAAAACTAATCGTTTTTGTTACTTTTATCATTAAAATTGACTGTTTTATTATGTATTAATGATTTTTGTTAATATATAATAAAATGTATAACGGATCAATGTATATATATTAGTCTCCTAATATCTAATACTTGATCATGAAATTCATGAAAAAAAAATTTTTGTTACTCATGTCTAGTTAAATATTCCTTCTGTTCTATAATATCTGTGAATTTGCTTATTGAAGCAAATTTAACACTACACCAACCAGGAAGGCCCCATTGGAGCTTTCTTCATCTTTTTTTTTCTTTTAACTTTTTGGGCCTTCTTTGGGGCTCTCTTTACATTCCTGATTTATACATATCATCATAAATGGTTACTTGAAGAATTTTAGTCCTAGATAAATTAAAAAGCAAAGGAAACATTGAAAGTTTAAACATATATAGAAGCACACTGAATATTGAAATTAAGACCTCATATATGTGTTCCAGAAACAATTTCTAATTCACACTGAGAAGCCAGAGCCAGTCTTTTTTGAAATTTGAAGAGTCCTATATAATGAAATCTTGAATGCTATAGTATAGCTTAATTTCATGCCATATTATCTCAATCAACTACCTTGATTTAAAATAAATATTGGCCCAAATTAAAGACAGCCAGGGTAAGCACAAGAAACAAACTTGTGGGGTCGGTGCCAGAATTGGATGGGGAATGACTTGTAGCAGGAGCTGGTGCAGATGCCTTCAGAGGTGTAGCAGGAGCTGGCACAGGTGCCTCCAGAGGTGTTTCGACATTGACAGTTACTTTCATCCCATGCCAGCAGTAGCCTCCACTACTGAGGAAGTAATAAGTCCTTGCTTCTGTGAGTTGAAACACATCACGCCCACCATGAGTGATGTTCTGTATAAAGCCCTGGTCATTGCAGCTTCCATAGCTGGTCTTGTTCACCTCCAAGACATTGTAGTATCGCTTGTCGAAATTAAAGACTTGATTCAAAACCACAAAATAGCAAGGAAGTCAGTACAGGTTAAAGTTCAAAGAGAATACTAGTTAAGAGCCAAATTAATGTAAACAGAGTCATGATTGAATAGGAATGGTTTAAAAAACTCCTAAGACTATAACCATAAGCCATAGTGGGATCAAAACCTCCGGAATTGATGTCTTAGAAACATAACATTCAATTTCAGAATGGTGTGATATATTTCAAAAACTGCAACAGACAACTCACACATGATAGAAAACACTAATGATTTTTTGCCTAACTTGGCAACCAAGGTGTAATTAGAAATTAAAAGAAGTCAAGTCTTGATTAAAGCATCATGTCAAAACCTCTACTAATTGTACATATATCCAAGATTAGATTCACTATTTTTCTTTTGGTAAAATACTAAATACATACATTTTTTACAATTAATTCCTTCAAAATATCCCAACTCTAGCTCTGCCTTATTTAATTTATTTCTAACAAAAAATTCTTATGTTCCACCATAAGAAAAATAAGCACTTTAATTACAAAAATTCCATATGATCATTACTAGACTACAATTACTTACCATTTCGAAACAATTAATTAAAGGTGATCAATATCAGTAAAAGAAAATTCCAAAGTGACGATGATGGTGATATAAAAGTAAAAGAGGAGTTATACCCTGACAAATCTTTAACACTTTAAATATTTGCTTCAGCTCGAAAGAAAAAAAAAAAAAAAGAATTCCAGAATAAACTTGGAAAATGAAGAAGTAATAAAAAAGAAAAAAGAGCCATTCGTGATTCCTGAACCCTTTTCTGATTTTTAAACTAAAATTCAATCTAACATTTTACCCTTTTT